CTCAGCAGCAAAGCCGATGAACACTCGGACAGCATGTCGGCTGTCCGAGTGTAAGGGGGGGGGGGGGGGGTTTCGGACAAACTTAGATTTGCAATGACTCTTCGTAAGCCAGGGCTCGACCTTGAAGTCGATGCAGCTGGACATGAGTCTTCTGCTCCGAACTCGCTTGGGAGCTTGGCAGGTACAAAGGGTCCTCTGCTTCCTGCATGCCAGGATTCACTTGAATTCAGAGGCTCCTCAAACTCGCATGTCGGTCACAGGCTTATTGGCTGACCTCTTCTGACCTCCCGCAGCAGGATTGCACAGGCACAAGGATGCACAACCCACATGGAGCTACAAAAGTCTCTACACCCTAAGCTTCCTGGTGAAACCTTAAAGAACCTGGAGTTGTAGGCTGATGCCCTGCCATTTCTGCGTTCAAAGCTTACCCACCCATGGGCACGCACAAACCCGCCAGACCCTTGCGCTGCACTCTATCAACGACAGCATCCCTCAACCAAAACCCAACAATCCCAAGCAAAGGGTATACCTGCCATAAGCTTCATCCACGGGTCCATGACTGCTGCACGGTGTGCTCCGGAGGCACACACTGAGCATGGTTCAGCAAGGCCTCAAGGTAGGTTACTTACGGTTACGCGAAGGATCGACCTCAGGAAAGTGTAGGGTTTTGATTTGATTAGATGTCTGGATTAGATGGGCTTTCCGGCTTTCCTGACAAGTTCTGAGCAATGAACAACAAGAAATTCTTACAACATCTCAAAACTCTAAGCCCAAAACAACCACTACTTCGTAGAAATTTTCAGACCCCACAGCCTCACAGCCTGTGCCTTGGAAGCCAGCGGGTTTAGGGTTCACTGGTTGTAGAAGAACAAGAACAGGGTACAGCACATCTTATTCGGGCATTCTGCCGTTTGGCACGCATGAGGAAGCGTCAGAATCCCGCAGGCTACCGCACCTACATCGTGCGCATCGCCTGAGGCACGTCTTCGTACTGACTGTTTTTTAGCAAAAGCAGCTTGAGTCGATGCTTGCCCTTAGGATGATCTGGAAAGCGTTGAGGCCTGCCTCCTTTTTGTGACGAATAGAGCTATGGGGCTTTTGCACCTGCTGGATCTTAGGCGTCTTTCTATCGTGATCCGGACTTGAACTTGCCTCAAATGAAGAGAACAGGTCAGTGAATCTTGACCCGACAGATGCTGACAGGACGACGGCATCACTGGGGCAGAAGCACGTCAGAAACGAAAGCTACACAGCTGCAAGAAAGATGCAACACGCATGCCTTGATGCGGCAGAGCGATGCACAACATGTCAAGACAACGGAAGCTAGATCAAGCTCACTCACTATCCCTCAATCTCCCGCTGACTGTTGGCTTGAACAGTGATCTTTCGCTTGCTCTGGATATGAGGTCCTGTATTGAAATAACCCCACCAGGGAAAATAGTTTGGTACAGCCCCGTATGGGGATCTACAAATATAGGGGACCCCTAAATAGTAGGATCCTCTTATACTGAGGACCCCAATGAGGCACCCCTTATTCTCGTAAACCCCCATATGCTGGGGTTCGGAAAAGCTGGCCTTGACCCTAAGCCCTAAACCCTAAACCCTAAACCCTAAACCCTTGTCAGTGGCTTCGCAGAGATTCCACGAGGCAGCGGCGCGAGGCGCGGGAAGCGGCGAGGCTGCAGCGTTTGGCACTGAAGGCTCCCGGTGGGGTTTAGGGTTTAGGGTTTAGGGTTTAGGGGTTAGGGGTTTAGGGTTTAGGGTTTAGGAGGTTGTTCCCAACCGAGTTTGAGGGCCCAAAGGCCTGAGCCACCCTATAACCTATAAACCTGACGAACATGATTCGCGTTATGAGCAAGACTACTCTTAGTTCTTACCGTTACATATTCCGAAATATTGCGAGTATTACTAAATTAGTGTCATGAGCAGTCTACCAGAATGAACCCTAAAACCCTAAAACCCTAAATCCCTCAAACCCTAAAACCCGAAAACCCTGAATCCCTGAATCCCTAAAACCCTAAAACCCTGAAACCCTGAAACCCTAAAACCCTAAAACCCTTATTCCTACTGTTATTGTTGTGAGCCTGGCGCACCAGGCTGCGGCTCGCCGTTCCGGACCCTCTGCGGAGGAGCTGCGAGCTGCGACCACAGGGGGCCACACGGGGATGGGGCTTTTCGGTTTAGGGTTTAGGGTTTAGGGTTTAGGGTTTCGGGTTTCGGGTTTAGGGTTTAGGGTTTAGGGTTTGGGTAACTTTGCACTATACTTGGAGGTTCATGGTACTTATGAACCCAAATTATGACTGTACTTATAACCCAATCATACCCAATCATAGCCATGTTGTGGCACCGAAGGGGCTTGGGGATTTTGCACCATAGAAGAATACGAGTCATGCACGAGACCTCGATCGCTTCATGCAGTCAGCGTAGCCCAGCCTAGCAGGCTGTCATAGGCTGTCACTATAGGGCTTGGCAGCTCGTTGCAGGTAGAGAATGTACCGTGACTTCTGTTTACTTCATTTGCTGGGGTTGCGCGGTAAGGCACAGAAGATCGCAGAGAAGGCAGCGGCGCGACGGGCCAAGGCCACCCGCAACCTTTTCATTACATGGCTGTCCCAAAATAGGGGTACCCCTTGTATACGCTAAAATAGAGTAGGACCCCAAAGGGTGCCCCAAAAGGGTACCCCTATTTTCGGAAACCCCCACATCCTAATTACAGAGTTTTGGGAAGGTTTGGGCATGGATCACAACCTCAATTGTGCGGTCTTTGCAGTAGCGAATTCACCCTACTTGTGAGCTGTCGCGCGTTTGTTTAGCGGTCACGCTTTTTCAAAAAAGCATCGCTGAAGATCTAAACCCTGATTCCGACTCTGCTCACATGAACTGTACGTATGTCTGCGTGTATATACATATATGTTTTTGTATGTACTTGCCTGTTGCTTAACATGTTTTATCTACTTCTGTAGTTTTATGTCTACAAGAATGTGGCAGAATTACCTTTTGAATGCATGTGATATCATAATATGCATATACATATATATATATATATATACATATATGTATATATATATATATATGTGTGTACACGTTGCTGCCTCACAATCCTGGTGGATGGTCCTGTGTCCTCGGCTTGCCCTGCTTACAAACGCCTTACAACCTGTCCGAGATGCTCTTGGAGATCACTAAAAGATCATGGCTCCCATCGATGGGTTTGGGGTTTAGGGTTTAGGGTTTAGGGTTTAGGGTTTAGGGTTTAGGGTTTAGGGGCTCGCCTATTGGGTCACTGGCGACTGGCTTCTCATGGTTAATGCTCCGATGCGATTACAATCGGAGTTTCGGAGGCCAGAGACGTTCGTGGACTTGGGCAAAATCGTTTCCTTCTGACATTGCAAGTTGCCCAACGCCAAAACAGTCAAAAGCTCTTCCTTTCGTGTTCTGAGCTGGTCAGCAAGTCTGACATGTCCATGTGGGAAATGATCTCATGTGACATGTATAACCAAGCACACATGAGAAAGTATTTCTGCGCAAGCCAGTGGTTCAGGCCTTTCCAAGTTCCGAACGTTTGCACAAAGTCACAAAAGCGCAATAGCCGCTTTTTAGCGTGCGCCTCGGTGCAAACTACATCGACCTCAGATTGAGATGCTCGTACGCGAGTTCAAAAGCCCAGAGAATACGGTTTTGTTCCTTCCAAAATGCAAGTAGAGCAAGCTACTGTAGAGTACTGAAAAATGTCGAGCTGATGCACAGTGACTTTTGTTAAGCGCGACGAGGCCAAAGGTGCAAAACCTGAGGAGGCCGACAAGGAAGCATCCTTGCCAGGCGCCGAGGCGCTGGCATGAGAGCTTCTCACAAAGCCCCACCTTTAGGGTTTAGGGTTTAGGGTTTAGGGTTTAAACCCTAGACACTAAACCCTGAACCATAGACCCAAAACCCTAAATCCTAAACCCTTCCTCCTTCTCTGGTATAGGATAGTGAATTCCCACAAGCTCTGAATCCCAAGACCGACATGAATAGAGAGGTCCAGGTTAAACCGTGGTTCCCAAGTTCCTTCACAGCCTCATGAACAAGCCTTGGCCTGTGCTTGCAGGCGACCGGCGATCCGGAACCTCCCAAATCGGAGAAGGAACAGAAGGAGCCCTTTGGGAGCAATTGGTAGCGAAGACGTTTTGGTTGGTTTAAGCGCTCCTTCTGCACATAGGCCCTAAACCCTCAACACTAAAGGGTACGTACAAGTGGAGCTTTCAGCACCTTAAGGCCGGCTGGTCAAGAAGAAGCCGGACTCACCGCCCAAAACGGGTCCACAGCCGCAGCTTTGCAGACAATGGTAGCCATATAGGGTATGTGAGCTTGTTCTTGGGTTTAGGGAGAAAGGGTTTAGGGTTTAGGGTTTAGGGTTTAGGGTTTAGGCTAGGTCAAGGCAATTCAGAGGGCCGTGTCTGATGCTTAGGTTGAAGACAAGGGGAAGAATCATAAAGAGCCGGCAGCTTGCACGCATTGCTGCTTCGCATCTTGCGACAGATGGGGGTTTCCGAATAGGGGGGGGGGGGGGATACCCTTCTTTGGGGGTCCCTTTAAGGGGCTTCTATTTTATTTGGGGTACAAAAGGGGTACTTGAAAGCCACCCGGCTCTGTCTCGGCAGGTGAACTCCGAGAGCAGGCAGAGCAAGCTGTGCGCTGAGAACTTGGCGCCCGAGAGCGATGCCGACGAGAAAGGGTCGAAGGAAGTAGAGAAAAAGACGGACAAGAAGGCGAACGGAGATGCAGGAAAGGAGAAGCAGCAGGATCCGAAGGAGAAAGAAAAGGAGGCAGGCAAGGAGGAGCAGAAGACTGCAGCTTCGCAGGAAAGGTCGCCTAAACGAAAGCGAAAGACCAGAGAGGAGGAGCTCGCGTTGCATATCGCGTTGCATATTGGAAGCACTTCAACCTGATGACATGAGAACCATGAATCCGTCCCTGTCTTCCCTTGAGATCCGCACAGGACACCGAGGACAAGAAGGAAGGCTAGACCATACTGCAGAATGGGGTTTACTATGATACAATATCGTGTGGGACTCTCTTTAATGTGTTCCCCCCCTGAACAGTCGAAGCTGATTTGGGTCCTCTTCAGACGGTCGTTCCCCAGTATTTTATATGGTTTTTTTTGAAAAGGATGAGTTCATGTGAATTAAAAAGGTTGGGTGACCCCCAGCAATTGATCTTCAAGGCGCACCACGCGAAAGATTCTTATGACGCTTTGAAGACTTGACTTAAGAGCGGACCCACCCTTGACCCCCAAACTGTCACAGGATCCTGAAGTAGCCCGGCAAAACGCGACTTCATAGAGGAAGCCCCTACCAGAGGGGGTCACTCAGCTCCGAAGGTGGGCTCACCAACCCGAAGCCCTTGAGTATCATTATATACCTCCGTAGAATCAAAATTCATCATGATGGTTCGAATTAACATTGCCTAAGGAAAGAAAGCCACACACATCATTCGTATGCCTGAACCCTCAAACACTCTCTTGAAGATGCTGACTTGCTCCTTGCAGCACCCTAAACCCTAAACCCTATAAGCCCTAAACCCTAAACCCTAAACCCTAAACGCAGCAGGCAGAAGATCCCGAGACAGGCGGCGGCGAGCCGAGGAGCCGAGACCGCTTTGAGGGTGGAAAGGCGTGCAGGTTTAAGGTCTATAGGGGTTCAGGGTTTGGGGTTTGGGGGCTTCAAGGGTTAGGGGTTTAGGGTTTAGGGGGTTCAGGGTTTAGGGGTTCAGGGTTTGGGGGTTCAGGGTTTGCGGCTTCAGGGTTTGGGGTTCAGGGTCTCGGGGTTCCGGGGTGATGTGTGGACATGCATCAGATGCTCAAAGACATGCGACGCTGCAGGATCACAATGGCAGACGGCCCAGCGTCCGAAGAGGACTCTGCTTCGCAAAGGGTTGAGAGTGTCAGAGAGAATTGCTGGGAGCTTGGGCTGAAACTCCTTCAAGGACATGGGCGCCATAGGAGAAGACACGACAGCAGGGAAGGCGGCGAAAGGAAGGCCGGTAAATACAGAAACATCACATCCCTTCTTGCTCTGAGTCTGGTTGCTCCAGGGTGCCAGAGACAAGAAGAGCCGGAAGGATGCCAGCAGGTCACAGCACAGCCGATGAGATCATGTGCTGCTTTGTGTGTGCTTTCTCAGCTCGACCCGGTAGACAAAAATGGGTTCTGGCAATGCAACGCTGTAGTTAGGGGCCCGGTGCGCCGGGAAGCTCTGAGGGCTTCTATTTTGAGGCAAGCCATGTAGCATGCCTCATACCATTTCGACAGGTCGCGGTCTGCAAAAAGACCTGCCAGACGGGCCGCGGACTTTGTGTCGCATAGGGTCAGAAATCGGTGTGGAGTTTGGACTGCCCTGGCATGTCTTGGAAATGAGACTTTCCCGAGATTTATCGGCTGAGGCCAACGCCATCTCTCCACCAAAGCCTGCCAAAGCTCGTCCAGCAGTTGGAGCACGAGTTCGGGTTTTGACCGAAAACGAGGACAAAGAAGGCCTCTACTACGACGACGATCGAGTTGCTGGGCAAGCAAGAGCATGATATTATAGCATGATGCCGAACTAAAATGCAGGCTCTTGTTGATCTTGTTGGCACTGTGATGCACTGATATCTGAAAATCAGGTTGGCATGAAGGGTATGACCGGACGAATTATCGAAGACGATACTTCCGAGCAGCCTTTTCGAGTAAAGCTCCGAAACGGGAAGCTCTCCTGGTTCAAGGAAGCCTGGATAGAGGACGCGAGTTGGGGTTCAAGGTCTTACAGATGGGAATGTAGGAGTGCCCAATTCCCACCATGAAGAGACTGAGAGGGCCCAATGAGGGTGTGCTTCCTCGCCCTTCTCTCTTCACGCAAATCAAGGAGCTCGACGGTGGGCCTGCCTCCCAAGTTGCGCGTGTTCGCACATGGGACATGGGGTCGACCTCTTAATGCCCAGAGGGTCTATATTTCAAAGCGAAACGCCTAGGTCATCCTCTTCGAGCTCATCGTCGTCTTCTTCAGACTCTTCCGGCGAGTCGGCCCAGGACGTGCTTGGCCCGCAAGGAGTGAAGAAGCGGCAGGCGAAACATCGCTGACCGTCCCATGAGCTCATGGTGGCTACCCGGATTTGTGCCGAGGCATCTGGCAATGGACAGAGTCCAGGTGAGGAGGCAGCGATCAGAATCGAGCGCTTGAGCTCCTGGAACACGTTCCAGAGCATGGGTTTAGGGTTTAGGGTTTAGAGTTTAGGGTTTGGGGTATCATGATACTGCCGACATCTGCCGATGCCCTTCCTGCCCAGGCTGTGGCCTTCGCATGGGAGAAAACTCCAAAGAACCTGCCAGCAGCTGGCCTGGCCCGCCTCAGCGAGTGTTGAGCTGTGCCGTAGGACCGCCATAGGCTTCTCGGTTAAAGGGCTTGCTCATGGTAGTATACTCTCTCTATATATATATATGTATGTTACAATATTTATATATATATATATATATACTCGCTATACTATGTGTACTTTCTATCAATAGGAAAAAGGACTCGCTGCAAACCTTGTGGGCAGTTTTGTTCCCTTGGCCAGGCTGCCTATGCCCTCAACGGGGCCGGGAGCATCTCGCCACTTGCCGCCGAGGCAGATACATCTCCGGAACGTTTCTGTTTGTTGCTGTTTGAGCATTTAACACGAATTTTAAGGAGAGGTCAACTTCTAGGCCGGTCATGTCCGTCTCTGCTGACAGGTGGAGACGTTCCTGGCGACTGCAAATGTTGCCGGGCACCCAAGACCTCGAGTGACCCCTTGGTGCCTCACCATCCTCTGTGCGGTTGCCGGTATCCTGCGCCAGTCGAAAGCCTTTGAAACAAGGATGGAGAGGCCGCTCAACGCTTGCGAGTCATGCCTGCCCATCAGCAACGAATGGTCATGGAGTCCGCTGCCCAACACTTCCGCCTCAACTTGTAGCGAGAGATAGTCAGTCCCGTTATCCTCCTAGAATCTCCTGGACTTAGTCGCGGGCCAATAGCTGGAAGCAGAGCACCTGCAGGGGCACCTGCCTAAGAGCAATCCGGAGACCAGCAATGGCCCACCTTGTGTTTCAAACCTAGTTGATTTTTTAGGTGCTGGTCGCTCGAATCCGCGATGCTGAGCTGGGACGTGCAGGGCCAGGATATGCCAAACCCGAAACCCTAAACCCTAAACCCTAATTTAAACCCTTTTCGCTTTGTTCTTCTTGGGGGGGGGAGGGGTTTTCATCGTCACAGAGTGATCGCGGCCCTAAACCCTGCGAGGAGCCTTGGGTGCAATTCCAATGAACGGTGGCCCGCCATCTTCCAATCCTGAGATTGAGAAGCTGATCTCAAAGCGGCGACCCCAACTTGCTTTAGCTTTACCCAAAGGCTCCTATGTAGTACCTTTTTGGGGTAGTATACCAGAATCCTCTATAACTAATTAACCCGAAAAGGAACTGCATTGGAGTTTTTTGGGTTGATTCTAAGATTCTAAGGCCAGGGGTTCTGGGGTTTGGGAATGGTTTTGGCTTAGGATGTACAATGATTCGACAGGTGGAGCTTGGATGTCAAGGCCTCATGGATGTTGCGGAGCTTGCCACCCGCATGTAACTCAGTTGCTCCACCGCGTCTTGGGCTGTGTGAGGGCTTTGGGTTGGGCGCCATGATGCCACATGAATACCGTTCTAAGCCTGGACCTAGGACAAGCACGAGCTGGCATTGAAGATATCGGTAGAGAAGGCCCCGCTGCCTCAGGAAGTCGGTTCACATCGAACGAACTGCTTGGACGTAACGTCTTTCGCCAGGCCCGAAATCCTTCGGCCTATGTCATCACCCAGCTGAACTCGCGAGCCTGGCAAGTATGTTGCATCTGCAAGTAGTGGCGACAGGGGTTGGCCACAAAAAGGCACTGACTCAGGGTGATGGCCGAATGCGCTAGACCATGCAAGCTAGACCCACTAGGGACATCTAGGAAGCCACAGGCCCGATGGTCAAGTAAGATGCAGCAGAACTGCGCAGTCGCTTTGCCAGGCTGTTTGGCGGAATTCAAGGCATTCAGGACAGTGGCTTCTTGATTGATTGTGGCACTTCGAGAAGTGCGTGAATAGCATAGTTCGGGGCCTCTTCCTGCACGAAGATCTTCGTGGGATTCAACCGACTGTTCAACTCACCTTGAGCATACGCATACAGGGGGCCCCAAGGCCGTACTATGATCATCGTGGTATGAAGATCTCCCATTCACCGCTGCGCTTTCTGCTTCCCGCGCCCTTCAATCTGAGAACTTACAAAAACGTTACAAATCCGACACCAAATGGCCCCTTGAGCGTACCACGAAAGTGTTAACATGCTTTAACTGTAACTGTAAAGTGCTCCCGTATTTGACACTCAGATGTGATATGCCTGGAGTTGTTACGGATGGACCGCTGGAGCACTCTTCGTGACCTTACATCGTCCTGCACTGTTTGGGGTCGATTCGGCATGCCAGTGTTACTCGTTTCGCAAATTCCGGGGAGTTCGCCCCCTGAACCCGAAACCCTAAACCCTAAACTACTAAACCTCTTTGTGAGGGTTACTGGTTGGTTATCCCCAGTGAACGTGGCCAGCTGGAAGCCTCAACAACTGCCTCTTGGGCTGGTCGCTGACGTACCCGCTTGTTTTGTGCATGAAACGGAGTATCCCCAGCTGAAAATGTGCAGACCTTTGCTTTCCAAGCAGCTAAATGTGTTTGGAAGCATCGTACGGTCCATGTTCAAAGAAGCTGCCATTGATTACCCAATGTCCCGGACCAAGTCCCTTGCTCATTGGGGTGTTAACAAAGAGGTCCCGTCGATTTGCATTGCCCCTTGTACAGTGCGGGCTGATGTCGGGAAGCTGTCAGATACTTTTTGGGCACACAGACGGTACAGTCGGGCGCAGGCTATTCCCTTTCAGCCTCCCCGAGATCCTGTTGATTGTCCAACACCTTTTGTTAATGGTCACGTGGGCTCGGTATTACGCTCGGCGTAGACTGGCCCGTAATTCATAATTAACTCAACGAGGAGAGAGCTTGGAGCAGGGATCCGTACGTCTGTCTCGCCTGGATCGTCCGACGACCGCTTCATAAACCTCTAAACCCCTAAACCCTAAACCCTGATGGCCGGTAAAAGCAGTCACTCCCCACGCTCCCTAGCAGGTCATTGGGAGGTCTGGCTCGAACCCTAAGTGCAGCATGGGGATTTCCGATTTTCCGGGTACCTTTTTGCGGTCCTCACTTATAAGTTATAAGGGGATCCTACTATTTTGGTGGTGTATATTAGAGGCCCCTTATTTTGGTCAACCCCCACATGGACTGCAGGAGCTACAAAGGATGAGTGCCATTGCCAATGGAAACCGGGCTGCGCGCTCAAGTCTATTGGGGTCAATGTAGGCAACCAGCCAAAAGAGGCAGAGCTGGTAGCTTGGTGGCTGAAGTGAGGGACGGCTGTTGAGCTCTCAAGGATGCACTGCTAATGGCGCCGAAGTTCAAAGAGCCAAACTTCAACTTAACTGCTGTGGCTTGGCCTACTCTCAGTCGGAACCGAGCAGTTGAGTTGTGTCCAGCAATCCCCCCCCCCCAAAAAAAAAGAGTGGCAAAGTGAGGTGACGCTGTGATGCCGCCTTTGGCATCGCCACCAGACGCACCGTTCCAACGGTTATGGCATCCCCCGGGCCACCCTCCAAGATCCCAAAGACCCCAAAGCCCCCAAAGACTCCAAACTCGGTCTCTGCACTTTTGGCCAAATGCTGCACACCGAAAGGCGTTGCAAGGGGCCAGGAAAAAGATTGCTCACAGTGCGCTCCGGAGGTAGAACGCCAGAAGCTCCATGAGGCTTCCAATAGCATTCCAACTTGCGGGCAATCTCCGAAACTCGGCTTCGGGTGCGGTTTGTGCACCTTATTTTTCTTCGCAATGTTGTCTAGAAACGTGGTGAGTGCCGTAAAGGCACGATTTCTGATTGGGTTTCGAGTAAGAGAGATTTGTTTGCTGACAGGCCATGAAGAGATGAAGTGGAGGTCTACTGGTTCACAATCGGTTATGCGTTGGCACGGGACGCACTGCGGAGCATGTGGCTTGCATTGCTGAGCCCTATGAGGTTACAGCATGAGTAAAGGCACCAGACAAGAGCCACTCACAAGTGAACTAACACAGGCTGACTCCATAAACCCACGTTAGCTCCATCCGGCGCAGAAAGAGAGGTCGGTCAAGCAGTCTCCCGTGTTCCCCAGGGTCATTATGCGATGTAAACCCTTCGAGTCCGCAGCGGCAGAATTGGTCGACGAGAGCTGGGGGCCCCAGTGAACCTCACAGTCACTGCACCCAATTTGCCCAAATAGTGGTGCGGGAGGAGGGGGGGAGAGGGGTTCGATCGCTGGATCCAGCCTGACTTAGGACAAGCATGTCTCGCGAATTGGGACAGGGCTGTGGCACAGAGCATCCCAAACATGAAATGCATTCTGTGCCTCAGGCCTGCACCCGCTTGAGCAGCTCAACATTCTGTCCCAGAAGGTTCCAACCTCGGCGTGGGCTTTGCTGTAGGAGCCCAGCTCTCTGTTTTCACGCAGAAGGGCCGCAGGCAGTATTTTTCAACAGGGTAAGCTTGGCACACTGCGTCAACACTTTCGCGATGAGTAAATTGATACAAGTAATTACAAGTATATGTTGTATATGTATACATATATTTTCTTCCATATATATATATATACATAACATGGTCACCCCGCTGCCAAGACCTACCGCTCGGGTTCCGGTTCGCGATACTTCAACATGAGTCTTATGATATCTACAATACCTGCAGCTCGTGCATTTCCAAAGGCCCAGTTTTCAGCGGTTGTTTTCAAGCTGTATCCTCATGATTTAATACGACGACTTATTCTATGAGCCGAAATTGCTATTGATGTAAACCATCGAAATACCGGCCCCGTGTTCACGGCAGCATCCCTACATTTTTGCAAAATTCCTACATACGGACATGCACCTCATCATCTCTGCCATATCCGTAGCACAGTGCAAAAACTCGAGCCTGCGTGAGCTGTCACCCCAGACATGGGCTTAAACAGTGTGTGTCCAGCATGGTACCCATGACAGTCCAGAGATTCCTAGTGTATCATTCTCGAATGCATGTATTTTCGAGTATATGCACTTGATTGGCGCATTAGCTCTTACGCTTTTTGGCCTTCTCCTTTTGCTTGCCATATACTCCCAGATTCTGGGAGTCTGGGAAGTTGGGGTGGGAGAATCTGGAAATCTGGGGGGTTGGGGTGCGAAAATCTGGGAATCTCGAGGATTCCCGAGTTTAAGATTACCAAAACTAAGGATACGAGAATCTCGTGCGATTTCTCTGCGAGAGGTAGGTCTTTGCAGGGGGGGGGGGGGGGGCTCCGCATGTATATACATATACATATATATATATATATAGATCGACTCTATTTCGACACGGTATATGTATGAAATAGCATACTTTCGATTGAGTTGCCAGCTGAGGCAAAGGAATTGGCAGGTCAAGGCGACACAGATGCTGTCATTGAGTGGAAGACCTAGCCGCCAGCCAATTCAGGCTATTCGACTCTTCCAGCAAGAAGCAGTTGGGGGGCGTTTCCCAGCACGCACCTTGTGGCTGAGGTGCCGCATCAAGCAGCTTACCCTGCAGCGAGACTGGTCCTCAGAGCCGGCTGAGAACCATCGAGCGCCGGTGTTTTGCCGCTGCTGAGGTCCTGGCACATTTGCATCAGTTCCCGCTGCAGCCTCTGATCCAAGCCCAGGCCGCCCTTGCCGAGGCCGCATGGCATTGCCAAGCTGGAAGATAACTTGAGGTAGGGTGTGTAGGGTCCATCTTACGGTCATGATTCGCAAGTGTATGTATGGGGCGCTTTTTTGAGATACTAGCGGCGACTACAAAGCGACCAGACTTACATTGACATGCTTCACAGTTAGGGCCATGCAGAGGCCTACGGGCAAGGGGGCTACTTCGTCCAAGCCTGCGCCCCAGTTTGGAAGGTTTCGAGTCACACCTCCCGTAGTAAGGATTGATAATTCTGTGCCCTAGGGCCCAGATGCTGACATAGACCCTTGATGACCCTTGCAAGGGATTTAGAGGGGCTCAGGGTTTAAGGCTATACCCGCTATAGAGCCCAGGCCAGGGAGCATCTTGCTCAGGCGAGGGACGTCCTTGCCTGAGCATCCTCGCACCATCCCCCTTGGGCATTTGTGGTTGCAGAGCTTGCACACGAAGCAGAAATGCAATTGAGTCTCTTTGAGGTATGCCATGGCGGGATCTACGACCACCAGCAGCATCAACGGCTGCAGGCGTACATGTTCCACCGACAGTTTCGAGCGAGGTGGTTCAGGGACCTGTCCAGGCAGACCTCCTCATGGCTGAAGGGTCGGTCCATCTGGCACAGAGGCAGCTGGAGGCAGAAGCTTTGCAAGCATGCACCATCTCGCGCAGGTTCACAGAGGGTCACACACCACCATTCTTCGTTCAGGCAGCTGAAAAGACCTTGCTGGAAGCTGCTCGCCTCGGCCGGGAAACACGAGGAGAGCTGGATGAAGAAGCCGCGCGCCTGGCTCAGACTCGCTTGCTGCAGGGGCTTGC